TTTCTCCTCTGTGTTAAGATGATATAAGGTGTCCCGCTGGAGCAGGGAGTTGGACTAGATGACCTCTGAAGTCCCTTCCAACCCTGGATTGCTGGGCTGTTTCAAAGCATCCTCTGAAGGTGCGCCTAATGCCAGGTTTGTGGTTCCTTCTTTCCTCTCCTTTCTCTCTCCCTTCCTCCCTCTATCCATCCATCCATCCATATCTCATTCACTTTCCCTTCCCTGTTTCTGCCTTCCCTCTTTCTTTCTTTCTCCCTTCCCTCCTCCCTCTTTCTTCTCCACTCTCTCTTTCTCCTTCCTTCCTTCCTTCCTTTCTCCCTTCCTGTGAAGAACCCCAGAAGGTCTTTGGTTGGAGGAAGAAAAGGCAGAACGTTTTGAAACGGAGAACATGCCCAATGATCATCTGGCATTCTTAGAGATCCACTATTGATTAGCTTGGCCTGAGCAAGGATACCTCGCAGCACTTTCAGTAAGCTCTCAACTCGTGTTCAGGGCGCTTGGGGATCCCTAAACTCTGAGGATTTCTTTCTTTCTCCCTTGAAGGCACCTCCGCACCCCACTTTGGGCATAGCAGGCCTCCCTGAAGCCCCCTGAGAGCCATAATGGGGTCGTGGGGACTCCTGGAGGGGCAGGAGAAGGTAAGGTTGCGAGCCCGGTGGGGATGGTGGGAAGGGCACAGCAAGCTCCAGGAAGGGGGGGGCTAGCGCGACTTACCTCTAGGCAGGAGGCAGCAGCTCAGTTGGGGCACATGGCGGGCACCATGTGGGAACTGGGAAGGACGCTTAGGAGCCACCCGGGAGGAGAGGAGTGACTGGGTGGGTTGGGGTGGGTGGGACGAGTGACCGGGAACTGGTTCAGGGGTGTGGCCAGCCTGCGTTCCTACCGGTTCATCAAACAAGGCCCAATTTCCACTACCAGTTCACCCGAACTGGTGTGAACTGGTAGGAACCCACCTCTGGTTTGACCTCAAGAAGCCTGGGAGGGTGTGGCCATCTCACTTTTGTCAGAGGTTCCTGTGGTGGCCCGAGGGCTCTGCCAGCAAAACGGACCTTGGGAGGGCCATACGCAGCTGTCCCAAGCTTCATTTTCACTGCCAGAGGAACTGCAGGCTAGTCCTTCACTGTTTCCAGGGCAGCCCCGTGGGCTTCCGTTTGATATCCCTGCTCTAGGATGTGGACATTCCTTCCAGCTTTTGCCTCCATAAATTGCTTTTGAGACCCAACCTTCAGAGGATCACCATTTGTGTATAGAATCAAAGGAACCATCTGGGATAGAATAGTTCTCAGGGCTATTAGCATAGTACCAGAATAGTATGGATCTCAGGGCTAAAATTCCTGCCACAATTGCAAAATTGCAAAATTTGCTCTGATATAGCAACAGTACAATAACAGCAAGAGCAATGCCAACAATAGTTTTGTCGTCATCATTATCCTACTCTTGACGGCCTTGTGATCTTGGGCTTCCTGTAGTTGTATCAGTGGTAGACCAAGGACGGGGTGGCAAGGAGTTCCCTACACTGGGGCAAGCGATCCCTGAGGAGGTTATTTGGAAGGTCTGAAGATCTTGTGAAGATGACATTCTTATGTCTATGTAAACTCGCATGAATATGTGCATACAAACAGTTTGCCTGCGCAATATGTGTGTTTATGTACTTTGGTTTTGCTCTTCAAAGAAACAGTTTTTCCAAAGCATTCGTTTGGTAATAAAATAACTTTGCCTTCTGAATTTAGAAATGATAAGAAATAAGAATAATTCAGTCAACCAGAGGTGGGTATTTAGTCCGTACTCTCCGATTTGAGTCCACCGGTAGCGGCAGCTGCGGGGGGCTCTGCCCGTCCACCCCAACATAATGCACAAGCCCTGCGCATGCACAGAAGAAGGTGAGCATGGACAGATGCGGCAGGCGCAAGCGCTCACATTCGCCAATCAGTAGGGAAAGTACGTGAATCTCCCCACTGCAGTAAACACTTGAAGTCATAAAGAATTGAGAAGTATAATTTACACAAAGAAGTAGGCACAAATCATGTATTTGAACAGAAAAATTCAGAGAAAGACAACAGGATTTACAAATGGAATCGGGACAGGGAATGCTAGGAAAGTTACGTAGTTATCAACTATAAAGATTAATGAAGCTCAGTGGGCTGTATAATAGTCTCCTCAAATTATCTTTAATCTCTGGCTGCCCAAAGTATTTTAAAGCTGCAGAAATGACAACTCCTAGTAGTGCTCCAAAGCATTAAAACGTCTGACTCTTGACTTTAAATAAACACAATAGCCATTTGCTAATAACGCCTTTTTGAAGAATAGGTGAATGAATAATATGCATTTTAAAAATAAAGTACCTTATATAGAGCAAAATACACCTCCCAGTATATATAATTAACAAATTTTACTTGGGCTTTAAACTACTTTTCATTTACTAGAGAAACTACTTTTTTCTAACATGTATACAATCCTTAGTCTTTCTTAATAAAAACACATATTAAATAAATATGTCCTGGTAAAAAATTACTTAGGAAATAATGACCTTTCCACTAGAAAACCATTGGCAAAATCCCAAAAGAAGAATAAAAGCTTCCAGAAATATTTCATTTACACAGCTCTTTTTTTAAGCCTGATGCTTTCTCTGTTAACACAATAAATATTAAACAATACTGTTTGTGTATTAAAACCTTTAAAAAAGCTTTCTGAATTATGTATTAGCAGCGCAACAAATCACATTATCAATTAGCTTTTATGATAGGAATGGCATTTGCCTAATATATTTCAATAAGAGAGAAAAAATGGCCCTGCTTAAACCTATGTAACCTTTTAAAAAAAGGGGGAACAAAGGGACTCGTGATTGAATTTTATTAATAATATTAAGGGAGAAGACCATTATTTGTCATTTGTGTGAGAAGTGGTCTTCCCAGAATAGGTTGCAAAATGCCAAAGCTTGAACTGTGTCAGGCTGGGAGAGCAAGTAAGGTTTGAGGAATGTAATTTTGAGTATTTCCATGCTGCATTGGTCCAAACATCCATGTTCTGACCAAAGGATCACATAGCCAAGAGGTTTTTGATGCCCAGTTCAGATATAAATTAAAAGAATGCACTTTTAGGAATGTCTACGGAGATTCTCAGCCGTAGTTCTCTCCCAAAGGGGCTTATTTCAGAGGGAACTTATTTATTCTTTGAAGATGTTTTCACTTCTCGTCCTTCAGCTGAGACTGGATGGTGGGGAATGGAAGGATTTATACTCCTTTTCACACAGCTGGTCATTTCCATTCTTTTTAGCAAGTTGTTAAGGTGACCTGGGGGTTTATCTGTGTTGTGAGGGTCACCTGAGTGGTGCAAATAGTTGTGCAGCCTTCTTGGAACTGTTGAAAGGAGTTGTGTTGCCTGCAAGGAATATAAATCCTTCCATTCCCCACCATCCAGTCAGAGCTGAAGAAGCTTCTTGGATGAGGATCGAAATGTCTTCAGAGAAAAAACAAGAAAGTCCAGTTGCCTCCTGAAAAAGCCCCTTTGGGACACTTTTATTTGTCCCAAATAAGTACATACAGGTAGTCCTCAACTTACGAGAGTTCATTTACTGACCGTTCGAACTTATTGAAAGTTGAAAAAAGTGACTTATGACCATTTTTCACACTTATGACTGTTACAGCATCTCCTTGGTCATGTGATCAAAATTCAGACTGTTGGNGGGAAGACTCGTTCTTTTTCTCGGCCTGCCAAGATGCTCCGACTGAGAGCAGCAGAAGGCAGGGAGGGGGCTGTGCGAGGGGCCTCCCGCCACACCCTGGGGGAATTAACCCCAAAGGGAGGGAAATGGGGAGGAGGCAGCCAAATAGGGAGATCCTCCAGGCCCCCCCAAAGGAGACAGAAACCCAGGGGTCAATATGGAAGGGGCTCCCGGATGGGGCCGAGGGGGGGGCGAGGGAGGGCCCAGGAAGCATCTGGGACAGGAGGGAGGGGGGCAAAGCGGGCCAGGCCTTTGGAAGAAGAGGGCCAAAGAAATGGGGAGGGGCAAGCAAGGGCCCCGCCTGCCCTACTTTCTCCCCCTTCCCTTTAGGCAAGGTTCCCGGTCTGGCGGTTCCCTCCTTTCTGTGCTGTGCAGAAGGGAAGGGGGGGGTGGCAGGGGGGCTGCATCCTCTCACGGGTCCACACAACAGCCCCTCCCCCACACACAATGTCACGTGTAACTCTGTGCAGCTCAGCCCCTGGACGGACTCCCCCTTCCCTGCCCTTTCGAAACCAGAAAGCAGGTTCTGGGGGTCCGGAGTGGGTGGGCCTGAAAAGCACGCAAGACCCCTCCCTACTCAATCACCCTTTGGGATTTGCTGGGCTGTTCTTGCTCTGGTCAGCCGCAGGGGACCCTCTCCCAGGACTGACACCCCCCCCCCCCCGTGGCCATGGGGAGAGGGACGCACTTGCCCCACGCCCAGAAGTCTGCTCCCTACTCGCTGGCCCTAAGAGGTCAATCCAAAGAGCCACGGGCCAGCCAGCAGCCTGCGAGGGCATCTTTGGCTGTGCCTCCCGGCCCCAGGTCTGAGCCCCAGCCCTGGCCACTCACGGGGCCCCCTGGGGCCCACAGGCAGGGGAGTGGCAGCCAGCTGCCCCTCTGGGCCCGTTGTCCGAAGCAGGGAGCCTCAGCAGGATCCGAGCCGCCGCTCCGGCCTCCTGCAATGTCAGTGCAGGCCACTTGTGGGACGGGGTGCGACGGTGGCAGAATGAAGGCCCCAGCCGACTAGCCAGGGGATGCCACACGCCTGGCACCTGCGCCCAGTCCTTCTGCAGACGGCAGCCAAGGGCAGAGACCCCTGCAGTCCAAGGCTGGAGGCAGAAAGAGCTGGGAAGGCCTCCATCACAGAGGGGAGGCCCCCACTGGGCCAGGCACACACGCACACACACGCACACACGGGGCCTCCCGAGCGCATCAAGACGGAGCAGGGAAAGGCAGCAAAGGTGCCAGGTGGGCAGGAGGCAAAGTCGCAGAGACGCAGGAAGGCCGCCTGTCCTACCTCTCGCTGCAGCACCAGCTCCTTCGTGAACAGCATGGCTTCTTCGCTGAAGGGCTCCCCTTCCTGGACCAGGCCTGGCAGGTTCCGGGCTCCACGGGGACACTCGATGCCTAAGAGGGAGAGCGAGACCTCGGTCACCCACAGCCGTCCCGCTGTTTGCAGTCCCCTCCCCCCCCACATCAGGAGGCATTTCCCCCAGATGGGCCACACAAAGCCCACGGCCGCCCAGATGCTTAGAGACCAGAGAACCCCCCCCCCTCATGGTATTCTGCAGGAACATAAGAACCAGCCCCCAGACTCCTTTGCTCCTCCAGCCTCCCCCCATGCCCCCTGCGCTCCCCAAGGGCAGAGAGGGCCGCTCTCAGGCCACTGGAGGACACCCACCCAGCCCTCCCACCACACTGAAGAATCCCCAGCACACAGTGGGTGAGGGAGGACACACAAGACGGCAGAACCGGGGCCAAAAGTTCTGGCTTCCCAGAGTCAGATGGAAACCACTCAACTAAATGCGAGAAAAATGAAAAAAATAATGATAAGCGCTCAATTTATCATTAGTCTGCACAGGAGGAAACCCCGACTCAGAAACTCCCGATCACCCACCAAAGGCGAAGGCAGCCGGTTTGCAGCAACGGGCGTTTCTGAATCCTTGAGAGCGGCTGTTGTGCTCCGTTTCATGGAGGGCCGGGACTCTTCCCTCCCCTGACTAAGGAGGACGGAGACCCCTAGGGCAGAGAGGCCAGGAGGGGAGGGAAGGAGATGGGCAGAGAACCAGTTTTCTCCCAAGGGCACAGAAGGGTCCCGGGGGGAGGGGGGGCGCTCTGGGCCCAGCTAGTCCACCTGCTTGGGTTTGATTGACGGCACTATAGCAAGGCCTTGCCATGTCCTTGAGTAACCTGTGCTCTTCCCATGCCGCACGGCCACCACCATGGCCATCACAGAGGGCACCAGGACACACCGCCTCCTTTCCATCTCCTGGCTCTCCTCCTTCGGCTCCCCTCCTCCCTCCTCCACTGATGCAGAGGCCGGGGGCAGGGGGGGGTTGAGTGCCCCCTGCTTCTGCCTTGGCCCTGGGCGACACCAGAGGAGAGCAGACTTCCTTGTGAAGGGAGGCCGCACCACAGAAGCAGCAATTGCCCTGGAGGGCTGGAGCAGAGGCTTAAACCCTGAAGGAAGGAAGCCAGGCCGGGCATCCAGAGGAAGAGGAGGAGGCAGCCGGGGCAGAGAAGGGCAGATTCACTAGATTCAAAACCACCTGGCAGCCCCCAGGGCACCTGCAGCTCCTTTGGGGGGGAGGGGGCTGTGTCTGACCAGGTCAGTTTTGCATGGGCCTGAAGAGTGCAGGGTGGGCCAGTTCCATCTTGGATTTCGAGAAGGAAAAGTGGACTCTCCAATGCTGGAAACTCAATGGGTCCAGGGGTTTTTGTTTTAAAAGTGATTTCCTTGAGAAGAGGAGAGTTTTGGACGCTCTGGGCCCTCCGAGAACGCTTGGAAAGAGACGAACACAGGATTTCCTACATTGGCAACTTAAGAAATGCAAAGAGTTTAAAAAGCCCCTGTGATTTTCCCCCTTGGTATAACTTTGTTTTTGTTCCAAATTATGATGTGCATTGAGACGATTCTGGGAAGCAGCCTTGCATTTGAAGACCTCGACGCGGATCTCCTGGCGCCTGTCATCTTGGAAGGAGCTCCGGGGCTCCACTGAGCCCGGTCGGTGGTGGCTAAGAGGAGAATCCCAGGTAACTGGAAAATCAGCCCATCTCCTGACTGGGAGGAAGAGGCCCAGGAGGCCGGCTGAAAGGTGGGTTGAAAAGGCTTCTCCGAGAGAGCAGGGACGCCTGTCAGTCCTCTGCCATCTAAAATCTAATCAGAATTCCCTCTGCCTCTTAATGACTATTAATGAAGTTATTGACGCCTGGAGAAGCAGAGGAGCCCCACAGCACTGCATCCCCCCCCCGGACTTTAGCAAGGCAGTTTAACTCTCCTGAACCTCCTCAGGCTGCTGGCACAGATGCCCCAGGACCCTGGGCCTAACGCTTGGCTGAAGGCAGGACCTTTCACACGTGAAGAAGAAGCATCCCCACAATCTATTGGGAAAGGTAAATCACATAAACTTAGTCTAGGAACACAGGCTTAATCCCTCCCCCCCCCCCCCCCCCCCCGTTCCAATCTTCCAGAACTGCCTGGAGGTTGTCTTTTCTTCCCTTGTGGAAGAGGGGAGGGTTCAGCCGAATCACCAGCTGCTTCCCAGGGCACCTTGGGATGCCAGTCGCTCGCCCCGGGATTCTCATTCGAAGAAAACAGGCCTTCTGCCCACCCAGACTCTCTTCACCACCCCCCAACCCCCTTGACCCTCCTTCCTTTGGGGAAGAGGCAGCGGAGGGGACCGAACCCCAAAGGGGGGATCCGAAGCTGTCCGAAGAGGCCCCTTCTGCCAACTTCCAGGGCCAAATCCCAGGTTCCTCTCCTTGTCTGCCTTTCTATGGGCCCCCATTTTATCCTCCTCCACCAAATGGGAGGCCGAGGGGGCTGGATAACTCCCTCCAAAAGGGGGCCAAACGTTGAAATAAAGTTTCAAAATAAAGATGCAGCCTGACAAGGGACCGGATGTGGCTGGGGTGGCCGAGAGGGGAATCCAGGCCACGGAGGGACCTGGCGGCATAGATGGGCAGCAGCTTGGAGTGGAAGCCACCACCCCCCCCCACACCCACTTCTGGTCAAGTGCCCTACAGAAACCCCCCCCCCCGTGCATCTAGAGGAGGCAACATGCTCTACTCCACTCCAAAGACGACAACCGAAAGACTTCCGAAGTCGGCTACACAAAGTGGCTGGGAAGCCGGAGAAAAGGTGGAGTCTGCAGCCCCAAAGGGGCTTTTTCCAAGAGGCAACTGAAGATCTTTCGCTTCTCATCCAAGAAGCTTCTTCAGTTCCGCCAGAGCTTTTTGAAACTTTTTCAAAAAAAAAAACACCACCCCCCAGAAAGTCCAGTTGCCGCTTGAAACAACTGGGACGACCGAGAACCTCCAAAGATCGGAGTCTGCAGGTTTCCCCTGACCTCTTCTCACCCAGCCTCCAGTTAACAGAATAACAAAGCTGGAAGGGACCTCGGAGGTCTTCTAGTCCAACCGCTGCTCAAGCAGGAGTCCCCCCACCACTCTGGCTGCCCAGTCCAGTCTAAAAGCTCCCTGGTTGGAGCTTCCATCCCACGGGCAGATGGTTCTCAGAGTCAGGAGGAAATTTCTCAATTCCAGGTTGCTTCCCTCCTTGGTTAGTTTCCACCCATTGCTTCTTCTCCTGCCCTCAGGTGCCCTCAGGAGAATAGGTTGAGCCCCTCTTCTCTGGGGCAGCCCCTGAGATGTTGGAAGGCTGCCATCCTGTCTCCCCTAGTCCTTCTCTTCACTAGACACACCCAGTTCCTGCAACTGTTCTTCCAGTCCCCTCATCGTCTTTGTTGCTCTTCTCTGCACTAGAGTCTCATCATCTTTTTTACACCGTGGCGACCAAAACTGAATGCCGTATTCCAAGTGTGGCCTTACCAAGTTCTGTCCCAGAGTTTTGGCTGCCTAGGACTCCGTGGGCTTATTTGGGAAGCTGCAGCACACGGCTGGCCCCTATTCAGCCACCGTCTCCTGGGGCTCCGAGCTCCTTCTGTCTCCAAGGCTGCTGCTGCTGCTGCTGAGCCAGGGGCCACCTATCCTGTACCTGTACCTGCTTCGTTCTCCTAGCCCGGGCTCTTCTCTTGCCACTGAAGCGCCCTTTCCTGGACGGTGCCCTGCGTCCTTCTGGGTCTCGAGCCCGTCTTCTGAAGGGTCGGCTACTCCCCCNTGTCAGCTGCTTCTCTCCTCTTCATTTCTCTGGTTGAAGACAATCACACCAGCTGCGACTGTGAAGACCTCGCCCCCCATTTTGGTAGGCGTTAGCGCTCTTCTCTTTGAAATCTGATTCATGTTGCTGTCTGCAGTCTCTTGTCCACGGCACCAGAAGAGCTGAATTAGACATTTCCGGAACTTAAAATGAAAGAAGAAACGGTTGCAATCAATATTTTATCAATAACTCCATGTTTATAATACCTTTAAAAAGTCCTCAGTCTTGTTTCAGAAGCCCTTTATTAGAATGGATATAGGCCGAAAAAGAGTGACTAGCACCATGTTTAGCAGGGAGAAAGAAGGAGAAAGAAGGAGGAAGTTGTGAAAAAAGAAAGGGATATCAGAAGGAGAAATGTGTGATCTCTTGCATTAAACGGTTTAAGCTTCAAGGCCACGCAGGCCCAACAACCCACTGCATCCCATTATTTCTCAACCTTTTCAGCTTTGCAAGCATGGACTTACTATTATTGTTGTTGTTATGGTTGTTGTTATTCATGCTTATCATGATTCTTGATGAATGTATTCTATTTTATTTTTCTTATGTACACTGAGCGCATTTGCAGCAAAGACAAAATCCATAACAATGACATAAATAGTTATTGGAAACCAGAATATGAAAAATGTCAGTTTGTGACTGGATATTGGGGTTTTTAATTAAGTGTCCAATCACACTTGGCCAAAAAAGAATTCTATTCTATTCTATTCTATTGTTGGAAAAGTTTTGAAATCCACAAAATTTTAAAGCTGGCAAGGTGAGAGAAACACTGGACTATTCTAAAGAGGTTAGTTTTCTGAAGTGTAGCCCACAACTGCCAAAATGACCCATAATATCTAGATGCTTATGGAACCAAAGCCATCTCTGGAAGTCTGGGGATTTCCACAACGTGGAACATCTTCAACCATGCAAGGTTACTGCCTCAGATGAGGCAACTCTCGGCTAGAAAATTATTTCCATGATTTCAGAGTAAACTGTTGCAACTGTACTCCATCTTGTGGATATGGAAAAAAAAGGGTAAGTGACAGAAACTTGAGTGAAACTAGAAAAGGAAAGGAAAAGAAAAGAAACTGTGGGAAGTATGAGATTATTCTCTCAAAATGAAAATGAAATCTACTTGGAAGAGAGTTGAAAGAATTATGTTATGAACTGCCATAGGGCTTTACATTTGGCTTTACATTTAAATATGGACTTACATTTAAAAAAATGACAAACTCAAAAGTTTATGGATGAAAAAAAATGCCTATAAGAG